TGAAGTGGCGTATGGAATCTACGAGTGGTTTAGTTCCCAGTAAAACACTCTTCTCCATATAATAATATTAAATATTACACACAGTATAGTATCCTATGAAATATACAAGTCTAATGGCTTGTTTCTCTTTGAGATTTCTCACCACTCCTTATGCCAACAGTAAATTACTTCCTTTTTGTTTGCATGAGGTGACAAAAATTACTTTAAAATATGAGGAAATAAAAATTAAGATTTATAAACACCACCATGAAAGGGAAATGAATAAGCATCAGGTGTCTAACCTCTCCTCCAAAGGTTTCTTTGACATTTTTCTTCACCCAGCTAAAACAGAAAACAGAATTTAGCCCACAAATAAGCCTTTCAAAACCCTGCATTTTGTATTCTAGAAGTCTTTAGGAAGGTTCATTTACACAGGATGCAATTCCCAAAAACATGCTCTGAAACAACTGGCCCATTTACTTCCATGTGTCCTTTATCTTCTGTACTCAAGTTTTTATAGTCTGACCAGAAAACCTGTTTGAAGTAAGGCAAGGAGCATTACAGATCTCGAGGTTGAAGAGGTGTCTGATAACCTTTTCTGTTTCAAGTTCAAAGTGAAAATTCTCCATACTGAATACTATACATTTCATTTAATGCCAGTTATGAGAATTTGGTGGTAGATAAAGACAACGTCATTTAGTTGATGATTTTCTTTATTCCCAACAGCCGTTTGTCTGATAATGCATCTGTGTTGCAATGAGAAATTAATTTTCATCACAGGGTTAAGAGTTGTGTATGGTACCTGTCTGAAGCCCATTTGTCAGCAACATATTTGTCATTGGTGATGATAAAATTATCAAACAGTATATCTGGGGTCATGGACCAGAGCTCCAAACCAACAGCAGCCTGAAGCAAACAAAACAAAAATCATAAAATAATACAAATAATTTGTCAACAGAATTAAAGCACTGATAGATAGGATTTGTTTTTCATTCATACTTACAATGGATGTCATCTTGAAAGGTTCCTTATCCTCAAAGTAATCTGGATTTTCTATTTTTCTTTGCTTCCAAATACCCTGCAATATATTTTCTGTTAGTACTAAAACTGTGCCAAGCCCACGAGATCATTGAAAGAAATTTTTAACTTTACAAAAAAAAAAACAAAAAAAACTAAGAGACATGGATACAATCATCAGTGCTGTCATTAAATTTTGAGTCACCTGTAGCCTTGATCTTCACAGCTGTAACAAACTTGCTACTTTATGGGTGAATTGTATTAACTACAGACAATTTCATCCATAATATCAAGGGCCTATCAAGCATACTCAGCCGAAACAGGTGTAATGGGTTACAACCCTTAATGATAGCCCTGTTCACTATACAATGTAACACTGGGTAACAGACACTGGCGATCAACTCCTTTATTCCCCTATCCTGCATGTTTGTCTTTGTATCAATGATCTCTGAGAAATTAGCAGTTGATCCTTATATATACCTTGTAGCTGGGGTTATCAATCAGTGGTGCTGAGCATTTGCCCTTGTAAGCAGGATTGTCTATGAGAGGAGGTTTCCACTTTCCACAGCCAGCCTTCTCACATTTAGGGTTTGCTTAAAACAGAATACGAAATAATACGTTTAATTTTCTGGTCAACTAACAACTGCCTCGCAAAGTGGAGAATGGGTGCCCGAGACATCCAGGAGCTTCCACTATGTGCAGCCAGCTCCTTAATGGAGGCTGCTCCCATGGCTGGCAAATCCCGGCAACCCAGCCATGGGCTCCCATTATCGGAGGGGAGAAAAACAGGCACCTGTCACACTGAGAAAACATTAGAAAGAGAGGGAGGGTCAGGGGAGGGGAAACAGCCTCTGAGAAGAGTCCCAATGCTTAAGAAAACGAAACACTCAAGGAAAATGCTGACTTAACGCAAAACTGTTACAACGCCCTGTGGTCCAAGAACACATGCTGCATGCTCATATAGGAATCTTAAAGCTGCCGACTGCAAAGGTAAGACTTGTGATCCTTGTTGTCAACTCCTGACCATTAAATTGTATTTACATGTAACTGCTTAAAATCTCTTGCTTAACCATAAAAACTCTTAGAAGATATCGAGGAAAAGGTTGTTGTTATTCATCGTGGTGGATGCAATAATAAAGTGTATTATCGTTTGTCTCA